AAAAAAAAACCACTCTGACAAGAAGATAAAAATTACGGACACAGAATTAAAGCAATAACACATAAATTTAGGAAAAAAACAAGATTAAAAAGCAAAGCAATCACGAATCGGGAGCTGAGAAAAGGGGAAAGAACCTGAGAGGAAGTCTTGTCGCGTTTCCTCTTTGATCCGCCATTAATTATGGTGATTCGAAGAATTCGCAGGTGGAATTCATGAGAGCGATGAGGGCTGGGGACTGCAAACGCAGTTATCTTTCTCAATATGGTTTCTGAAATTTTCACAATGCTGGAACTCTTTTAACAAAGTACTGACCGATAAAAGGATGCGTTAAATTGAACTTTCAGTCCCCTAAATCTTACTAATTGCAAATTTTTCTCTATAGGTAATTTTGTTTTTGACCGTTCTTAAAAGCGATTTAATTGTATAATTTTGTAGAGTATTTCTCTCTCTTCTCTCAACGCCTAAAGTTCAAAAAAAAATAAAAATTATCAAACACTTGTTGGTTCGAAGCAAGGGTGGAAAAATGGCCGGAGGACAAAAGGAACACGACAAGGAGCCCGAAATTCGCGAGGTATTTCTCTAAATTTTTTTTTTTTAAATGGGCCGGCCGCCATAGGCGACCTATTTTGAACACGCCAGGCCGTGATTGCGGCCGGTCTTCGCTCAGCGGGCCGCGGAATGCGAAAAAGACATAAAAATTAACCAGACCGAAAAAAAAGAGAGAGAGAAATTGAAGTGCGAGAATGTAGATTTAGTTTCCGGATTTGTATTATTTTTGGAACTATGATTTATGCTGGAATTGAAAAGGTATTTTTATTTTTATTTTTTTTAATAATCAGATTTCACAATGCATAACACATCTAACCGGAATTTTCGAGAAAATGGCAAATTAGGTTCCAAAACTTTTTCAGTTTCTCATATTTGGTCCCTAGCACATCAATTCTGGTTCTTTTTAAATTTTCTTTGCGAAACTGGTTCCACTCCGTCAATAATTAACAGTCTTCTTCATTAAGACGTTAGTCGTCATTTTTAAATTGTAGGAAATTACAAATTTAGTCCCATAACTTTGTTGTTTCCCATGTTTGGTCCCAAGTAGTTCGAGAAGAAAAATCGAAAGGTCCAAAATTAATAATCATGTGAAATGAAACTCTCGTCTTCCTCTGGTTATCCACAAAATTAAACTCAAATTCGAAGGCAGGTTCTCCACAAGATGAATCCATACAAAATAAAAACTCGTCCCGAGTCATTTTACACATGATTAACTTGATTCAAAATCTATTTTTTCCAAATACACGCGCAAAAAGCTCTAGATGGGCTACTCAACATATAATAGAAATCACATAGCCAACTCCCCATTTTTTTTCTTTCTCTTTTTTTTTTTTATATTTTTTAAATGAGTAAATTTTTCAAAATGAGAGTCGTTAGGACGATTGTTACCTAGGTTTATCATCGAAGTTTGTCCCCGAATCTCCTAGGCCGGTTTCCCGTATCCATTGCCCCGATTTATCTCGAAAGAGACTAATTGGGTCAAGCGGAGTCTAATCCTTTCAACTATCATGAGCTCATTTTTATTCTTTTTTTTTTCGCGAGCTTCTTTTTTTCAAACGAGGTTTCCGGACGATGATTATCTAGATTTAGCCTCGAGGGGTTTCCTCGAGTTTCCTAGACCGGTTTTCCAAGCTCATTATCTCATTTCACGAAGTGAATCAAAATAAGAGGAGCATAATCCGTACTTTCTCGCGAACTCACATTTTATTATATGTATTTTTTCGAAGGGAGCGGCACACAAGGATACATCACGATACAAAACATTAACATCAACAATCAATCAAGACGTACCACAAGTGTATAGCATAATACAATTACAACGATCAAACACAAGGCAAGAACGTTTCAAGATCACCAATCGAGAACAAACAAGGGACAAAAACAATTCTATGAATTTAAATGCGGGTTCCAATGTCAACAAATCATCATTTAATTTTAAAGAAACCTTTCATATCATCAAGTACATAAAGCATGAAAATTAACAATGATACTGAACAACAATCTTACCTCACCACTTAGCCATCTTGGCTTTAAACAAACATCAAGCTTCATGTGGGGAAATCGGCACAAACACAAAAACAACAACAAAAATCGGTCCACGACACGATATACGAAAAATAAAGCACCTAAAACAAAAGAAATGCCGCCTAAGCATACATGATCACAAGCAATGTTCTCATTGCTTGACCAAAAAACATAGGATAGAGCACATAATCACACAAGCTCATGCGAGAAAAAAAAAACAAAAAAAACAATAAATGAAGATAAGAAAAAAAAAAAACAAGCACGAACACAAGCAAAGAAACAAGAGAAAAAGAGAATAAGGAAAAGAAAGCGCGTGGTGTACCACCGTGTGTCTAATGGTGTTTTTCCAGTGGAAATAGAGAAAATAATCTGAAAATCCTCGAGTGCAAAATAAAGCTATCCGAACGATTGTACAATGAAAGCATATTGATCCATAAGCCAACATGAGACAATGACATTTGAAAGCATAATCGAGGTCAAGAATCCCGGAGTGATCTTTTTTTTTTCTGTTCGATTTTTTTTTTCTCGAACTACTTGGGACCAAATGTGGGAAACAACAAAAGTTATGAGAACAAATTTGCAATTTCCTACAAATTAAATAAAAAAAAAACAACTAAGGTCTTAATGAGGAAGACCATTAACGATTGACGGAGTGGTACCTGTTTCGCAACGAAAATTTAAAAAGGACCAGGATTGACGTGCTTGGGATCAAATGTGGAAAACAGAAAAAATTTTGGGACCAAATTTGCAATCTTCTCGGAATCTTCCCATATAATTAGAATTTATGTCATATTGAAAGAGCATTGTCAATAAATTATTTGTGAAAACTTAATAAAAAAAATTGAGTCAACTCATTTGACTTACTACTTATGGCAATTTTTTAAACGATCCTTTACAATCCAAATTTTTTTATTCATTTTTTAAACTTGGTTAGATTTTTCGTATTTTTTTTGTTGATATCTTCCTATAATTATTCCATAATTTTGGCACAAATTATTCGCGCATTTTGCAAAAAATGAGTCTAACATATTTTATTAATATCTTAGCAAAAACGTCAAATTCTTCCCTCCCGACACTAAAAACTTGTTCTTCCCCAAATGACCAAAAGACACGGGAACCCGCGACTCGGTCAAAACCTCAGTTTCCGCATCGAGGGTCAAAACATTCGAGCCCCTATGATACGGGACCCAGTGCACGAAACCTTCGGTCGACAACGGGGGACCCATCGACAATAGGCTCTTCGCCTCACGAGACAAGTGGTCCGTGCGCATGTGCCTCCACGAGTCGTCGCCATAGGCCCCGACAGTTAGTATGTCGCACTCGTAAAGTAAATCTCCTCTCATTATAGCATCGAACGTCAATTTTTTGACACCTTTCGCTAATTTAATGTACACTTGCACCACTTTGTACTCCATAGAGGCCGCCCCATATGTCAAACAAGTGTTCTTACTAGAGTTTTTTCTTCCGAAATGCGGAGGGAGGTCGATGTACTCGGTGGTCTCGGGATTCAGGATGCGGAGAGTACACATATCGAAATCGAACGGTGTGTTCACCACAACAAGGCCGTGAGAGTTCTCCAAGATATGCGAGCCCAATTCGTAGCGGGCACAGAGTTTCACCACCCGGCCTTGACTACCAGAGAATAAAATCATATACTTAGCGAGTATACTCGTATACTGCAAGAGAAGCCCAGTGGCCGCACGATGGTGGTGCAAGCATGTGAAGCCGCGAGAGCGGGCCAAATGGCCCCACTTGCCTTGTCGAGTTACGGATATCACGAGAGGTGAGACGAATGAGGATGTCGAATAGCAAATCTTCGGTAAGGGACTCCATGTTTGTCAACCGGCAGTTCGGAATACGATTGCATCTCGCCATCTATGTAATAGCAAAAAAAAAAAAAAATCAATAAATCATATACAATTTTTCTTGAGGATCCTTATTCTGTCTCTCGATTTGGTTCACCGGCAATATGCCTGCCAAGTTTCAAATTTTTTCCGGCCTCTGCAACTTGCCGGCGAACTATAAACATCGGTACCAAAAACAAAAAAAAAAAGAACATATACTTGGGAATTAAGGCACATCGAAAACGTGTTTATTGTGAAAAAAACATTAAATAAACTGAATAAAACATTCAAACAAATGTAAAAAAAATTAAATAAACTGAATAAACATTTAAACTGAAAAGATATAATAAGTAAAATCATCACAGAAATTGTTTGTAACTCCGCCCGGTGATAGGGTGGTGACGGCGAATTTCAGGTATCTCTGGTAATCCATTCCTCGGAGATTAAAAGAAGTAACGAAAAATATTAATAATCATCTAATAGGACTCTTCCCATATAATTAAAAATTATACATCCAAAAATCTTTATGTATCCTAATTACAAGACAACCGTAATTTATTTATTTGAATTTTCAGCTCAATCAAAAATAAAAAGACTTGCATTTACAAAAAGAAATTTAAAATTGGCCAAAGTACCGTTTCATACCAATTTCATACCAGAAAATATCAGTTTTACCAAAACATACCGGCCAAAATACCGGTCAAAGTATCGATATATACAGATTTTTTTTAAAAAAAAAAATAATTTTAAAATACATTTTTATTAATTTATTTATATAAATTGAAAGTAAAATGTTTTTAATATATTTACATTGTAATCAGATTTTAATTAGTTACATTCATAAACTCCGCCTATGTTGTCTCAACATAGCAGTCCCAAGCCCTGGTAAAGGAGGAGGGTTGTGATAGACTTGGCGAGCCAACGTAAAACCTAGTCATTCTATGGAGATGAAACACAATAGATATTCGTTGGGGCGTAACCCTCTTAGCGACGCGCCATATCGGAACCCGGGTATGGTGTCAAATGGGCAAGGGTCGGGTCGTCTCCCCCTCAGGGACGCGCCATGTCGTGGTTTGGGCATGGTGTTAAGTGAGCAAGGACCGGGTCGTCATTTCCTTAGTGGCGCGCTACATCGGCGCCCGGGTGTAGTGGAAAATGAGCAAGGGTCTTCGCATCTCTCTCGACGGGTGCGAAGGGCAAGGAAGCTAGTCGAACCAACTAGGGTCCGGATAGGTAGTTGGAACGTAGGGTCCCTAACGGGTAAGCTACGTGAGCTAGTCGATGCAGCTATTAGGAGGCGTGTTAATATCGTATGCGTCCAGGAGACTAAATGGAAGGGGCAGAAGGCGAAGGAAGTGGAGGATACTGGCTTCAAGCTTTGGTTCACTGGGGCTTCATCGAGTAGGAATGGTGTAGGCATCCTGATCGATAGGAGCCTTAAGGATGGAGTTGTAGATGTTAGGAGGCATGGCGACCGGATTATCCTAGTCCGATTGGTAATTGGGGATGTGACCATGAATGTGATCAGTGCTTATGCCCCTCAGGTAGGTCTTAGTGAGAGCGCCAAGAGGCAATTCTGGGAAGATCTGGACACCTTGGTCAGTACGGTGCCTGCCAGCGAGAAGCTCTTCGTAGGAGGAGACCTCAACGGACATGTGGGCGCGACTAATATAGGTTTCGAGAGAGTGCACAGAGGATTTGGGTATGGTAGTCGGAATGAAGAGGGAGAGGGTGTGTTGGACTTTGCGTTGGCCTACGACTTGCTAATAGCGAACACCCTCTTTAGGAAGAGGGAATCTCACCTAGTGACCTTCCATAGTGGACGTCACTCAAGTCAGATCGACTTTATCCTTGCAAGGAGGGAGGATAGACGCGCTTGCGTAGATTGCAAGGTGATACCTGGGGAGTGTGTTGTCCCCCAGCATAAGCTGGTGGTGGCGGACTTTCGATTCCGAGTACGTGTCCACCGGGACAAATGTGCCAAGACCGTGAGAACGAAGTGGTGGAAGCTTAAAGGGGAAGTGGCGAAGACGTTTAGGGATAGGATGCTAGGCGAGGGGCCTTGGGAAGAAGGAGAAGATGCAGATGACATGTGGCTAAAGATGGCAACATGTGTACGGAAGGTGGCTGCAGAAGTACTTGGTGTGAGTAGGGGAGGCAAGCAGGATGCGAAAGACACTTGGTGGTGGAATGACGAGGTGCAAAGGGCTATTCAAGAGAAGAAAGAGTGTTTCAAGCGTCTCCACCTCGACAAGAGTGCAACCAACATTGAGAGCTATAAAATAGCGAGAAGGGCTGCAAAGCGTGCCGTGAGTGTAGCGAAGGGTCAGGCCTATGATGACCTCTATCAGCGCCTAGGCACGAAGGAGGGAGAGAAGGACATTTATAAGATAGCTAGGATTCGGGAGAGGCACACAAGGGACATCAACCAAATCAAATGCATCAAGGCTGAGTCCGATCGGCCACTGGTGAAGGATGGGCAGATCAAGGACAGATGGCGAGAGTACTTCGACAAATTGTTTAATGGGGAGAGTGAGGGTCCTACCCTGGAGTTGGTTGACTCATTTGAGGATACCAATAGATGCTTGGTGAGGAGAATCCGAGAGGCAGAGATCGGAGAGGCTATGAAGAGGATGAAGGGAGGTAAAGCAATGGGCCCTGATGGTATTCCTATTGAGGTGTGGCGATGTTTGGGCGCCAGAGCGTTAGTATGGTTAACTAAGCTCTTTAACCTCATCTTTCGGTCAAACAAGATGCCTGATGAATGGAGGAGAAGTACTTTAGTACCGATCTTCAAGAACAAGGGTGATGTTCAAAGCTGTGGTAACTACCGTGGGATTAAGTTGATGTGCCATACGATGAAGCTCTGGGAGAGGGTTATCGAGCATCGCCTACGACGAATGACGAGTGTGACCCAAAACCAATTTGGGTTTATGCCTGGAAGGTCGACCATGGAGGCGATTTTCCTAATACGACAGTTGATGGAGAGATATAGGGAACAAAAGAAGAACTTGCACATGGTCTTTATCGACCTTGAGAAGGCTTATGACAGAGTACCGAGGAATGTCATGTGGTGGGCCTTAGAAAAGCACAAAGTCCCATCTAAGTACATTACCCTCATTAAGGATATGTACAAGGATGCGATGACGTGTGTTCGAACATGTGGGGGCGATACCAGCGACTTCCCAATTAAAATAGGACTACACCAGGGGTCAGCATTGAGCCCTTATTTATTTGCCTTGGTGATGGATGAGGTCACAAGGGACATACAAGGTGATCTCCCTTGGTGTATGCTCTTTGCTGATGATGTGGTGCTAGTTGACGAGAGTAGGGCCGGGGTAAATAGGAAGTTAGAGCTGTGGAAGGACACGTTAGAGTCGAAAGGCTTCAGACTTAGTAGGACGAAGACCGAGTACATGACGTGCGCTTTCAGCATGGCTACTCATGATGATGGTGATGTTAGCCTTGACGGGCAAGTGGTGGCCAAGAAGGAGACTTTCCGGTATTTAGGATCGATGCTACAAAAGGATGGCGGCATTGATGAAGATGTTAGGCATAGAATTGCAGTCGGTTGGTTGAAATGGCGTCAAGCTTCGGGCGTTCTCTGTGATAAGAGGGTGCCACAAAAGCTAAAAGGTAAGTTCTATAGGACGGCGATTCGCCCGGCGATGCTATACGGTGCTGAATATTGGCCTACAAAAGGCAACATGTCCAACAACTAAGTGTAGCAGAGATGCGGATGTTGCGTTGGTTTTGCGGGCACACAAGAAGAGATAGAATCCGAAATGAGGATATTCGTGATAGGGTCGGGGTGGCCCCAATTGAGGAGAAATTGGTTCAACATCGGCTGAGGTGGTTCGGACATGTCCAACGGAGGCCTCCTGATGCACCGGTGCGCAGGGGAGTTCTACAGCGGGTCGATGTTGTTAAGAGAGGTAGAGGTCGGCCTAAACTCACTTGGGAAGAGTCAGTTCAGAGAGACCTTAAAGATTGGAATATCTCCAAGGATTTAGGGTGGATAGGAGCGCTTGGAGACTAGCGATCAACGTGCCGGAACCATGACTTTTGCTCCTTTCTCTTTTGCTCCAATCTTTTTTTTTTTCTTTACTACTGTTTCTATTGGGTTTCATCTCTAGCCTACCCCAACTTGTTTGGGACTAAAAGGCTTTGTTGTTGTTGTTGTTGTTGTTATTTATACATTCATAATAAATTAATTTAATATTTATTGAAACTGGTAAAATAGACAGTATTTAAAAGCCGATTGAACCGGTTGAACAGTGTACCACTGGCTCTATTACCGGTACGGTATTCAAAACATATAAAATTAGCGCAACACATCTAACAGAGTAACGAGACTCTTCACATATAATTAGCCAGCCAAAAGTCTTTATCTTTATACTAGTAATGAAAGAAAATGGAGATTTAGTCCTCTAACTAACACCCAATTGAGATTTGGTCCTACAAGTTAGTCGATTTTGGAGACATCTTAACTAGCAAAAAAAAAATGATATTTCGTCCTGCAAGTTAGTAAATATCATATCAGATAATGCAATCATATATTTGTTCATGCTGAGTTCGTCCATAGCAAACTCCTTTAATGCTTTACTAGTGCGTAGCCCCGTGCGATGCACGAGTAATTATGTTAAATAATAATTATAAATAGGTCTGGAGTTCGAGTAATGGGGAACCATTATCCTATTTTAAAAGAGCAAAAAAATAAAATAAATTAAAGATGTGGGGTTAACATGTTATATAATTTACCGTCTTATATTAATTTAATAATTATAAATAGGTCTCGAGTTTGAGTG